ATTTGATTACTAAAAAGAGCTGTTTAATTAATATTTTTTTTTATTTTTTCACCTGATTTGCTAATAATTTTAATCTAATGCCTTGGCAGGGTTAGAATAAAACACAGACAAGGTCAAATGATCTGACAGCACTTTTATTTATTTAAAGATTTGGAATTGGTTGAAGAACACTCATTCTTGGTACCTAACACTGCAGAAAACATACAATGTTTCTATTTACCTCCAAAATGAAAATAAGTTATTCAATTATTCAGTTATTATTAAATTAAATATTCAATTGTGCCCTGCGATAGACTGGCGACCTGACCAGAGTGTACCCCGCCTCTCGCCCGTAGACAGCTGGAGATAGGCACCAGCACCCCTCGCGACCCTGCTTGGGATAAGCGTGGTGGAAAATTAATAGATGGATATTAAATTGCTAAAAATACTAACTTTGAAAAAATATTGCAAATTGAATTTCTCATTTCTCTTGCATATGTCTGCAATATTACATTTGCAAGGAATGCAATTTTTTGGAAAGATAAAGTTCCTTAAGTATTTATACTCTGCATATGCATGGTGGTTTTGAAAGAGTCTAACTGCTATTAATCACCTGATGTATATTTTCAGCCGCTGAGATGGTAAAGCTCCCAGACAGTGCAGGAGACATTGTCTTAATTGTAAAGAATGAAAATACTTAGGCATGTTTACCTTACATTGTGCAGTCCTATTCTGTCTCTATTGACATCCTGAACAATTATTGGATCAAAGTTTGAATGCTGAACACAATTAGAACTAGCTGGTGTTATCTATTTAAAGACTCAGTGAACAAACTGTTTTTTTTTTTTTTTTTTTTTTTTTTATATAGCTTCCACTAAAGCAATTACTGCAACTCACTGACATTAACAATATGATATCATTATACCAAATTACTATTTCTTAATTCATGCAAGGAAAGAGTTTCTGAAAGATCTGATGTAGTTTAAAATGAGGTATCACTTTTAGTCTCCTCTATTCAATCAAGATTCTGGCTAATAAACTTTTTTTGTCTACCCTCTTCACACATTCAGCTGTGTTCGTTCTCATACTATAGTCACCATTACAGAATTGTCAAAAGGCTTAAATAAAGGTTGGACTGGTTGACGAAAGGAACTGAGTCTGCCAGAAAAGGGAAGGTTAAGAGGCTAACAGGCCTGACTGTAAAAACATTTTGGCTCCTTATAGTGAAAAGCTAATAATTGATTTCAGGGGGAATGAAGTGTTCATCTGCAGCTGATTAAGTGCAAAAAAAAAAAAAAGAGGAGGGGAAATACCACATTTTAGTGTTGGATATGCATATTCTAGAAAACATTCAATGCTGCCTAATAAAAAAACAAAAACTTTACAAACTCTAAATTTCCTGAAGCAAAAAAAAAAAAAAAAAAAAAAAAAAAAAAAAACACACTCCCAAGAGCTGTTTATGTCCTCCTGCTGCTGCACCAATGGGAGTACCCTCATGTTTTTAAGCCATATCAGCTGTGCAGCAGATAAGGGAAGGCAGTGAAAGGTGTAGCAAGGTACATTAAGAACATTATCAAGCTGTGCTTTTGTGACAAATACACACCCAAATGACCTGAAGAAAATGCACTGCATTCTACTTCCACTTTATTCATCAACTGTTTGAACTCCAGCCCCAGGAAAAAAAGGTACCAAATGACATTGTCCTGCAGAAATATGAGTTTTGTTTGTTTCATTCTCAGAAACAACACTCTAACATCATTGGCCCACCATTATGTTTTATATAGGAGCTTAACTTTTATTTGCAAACCAAACATTTCTATAGATAATAACTGGGTTGTTTTGTAGAAGAGCAGGTAATGTTAATCTTTAGTTTAAGGAAGCATGCCTAATCTGAATGTTTTGTTCCGATGGGTGACATTTAGGCTTGTTTTGACTTTCACTTACCTACTTTTAACATCATTTTTTAAATTAAATAATTTGTTCTGATTGGCAGCACAAAGAAGCAGGCAACAGAAAAACTGTATGATCTTTAAAGCCTTCCTATTCATGGTGTTTAAAGTCATTTTGTGGAGAAAAATGGTTTCCAAACATATTATCTAAAACAGCAAGCATCAGTTCCACAGCACCTAATGCCACTCCATAAGCAAGTCCTTCCTACTGTTTTACTGTTTGTTTTTAAAAATATGCTCTTCAGCAGAAACAGGAAGTTTTTACGGCCATCGCAAAAGGAAAGTTTTCCTCCAGGGGTAACTGTATACTCATGAATATGGTCCCTCTAGTTCATGATTCAGTATCATCTCTATATAGTCATCCGGCGAATGCTTTGAATTCCTGCAATGGACATGTTTGATAAACAACTCCAGCTGTTTAAATTGCATTTGGTTAAATAACAATATAGCTAAAGACTTTGATTAAGAATTTTAGAAGATTTGTTCCTTCTTTTTTGCCAAAACTAAGACCCACAATGAAAGCTAGAGAAAAAAAAGACAGAAACTTAAAGGCAAAGTAACAGAGGGTGTGACCCTAAGCCTACAGTGGGAAAGAAAGAGAGGCACACTTTCTCAAGCACACACACATACACATCTGGTCTATCCAGTTTCTACTTTGTATCTCATAGGAAAGCTATGCTGAAGGTTAGACTAGCAAAAAATACAATGAAACTTGTGTAATCTACTTCTTTTTATCCAAAAAGAAGTGAGTCATCTTTAAACTCAGTCACAGTCTCTACATGAGGTTGTCATTCATAAAATAAGGGTGTGGACACTTGTTTTGTTTATCTAAATATTCTTTTCTCCTTTTTATGTGGTAGCAGCCCTGTAGTTAAACCCGTGAGCCAGAACATGCTATATTTCACCTCTCACATTAACGCCTATAAATTTTCATAGGCAAGTGTTTTTGCTGGGACCATATTACCACAAGCTGCAGAGTCATGCAGAGTACTGTAGTGGGCATACAAGCCCTTACGTGTTGCACCAGAACACATTTAAGACTACTGTTTCAGAAAAAGCAACTGAGGTGCTACGTAGAGCGGAGAGATTCTATTACTGAAACTTTAGCTTCCGTTCAAAAAGACTCTTGTTGAAGTTGAACACAAAAAGTATCCTAAAATCTTATAAATATAGTCTGTTGCATTAGCATTCAAAACCATTGGATCATTTTGTCAATTTTTGCAACATTATAAAACAATAAATATGTCAGAAAACATCTGTGACAAACATAATTATCAGATAGAGGTGCACACAACACAGCTGTACTGGCTTAAAGCAGGGTTAGGTTATAAAGCAAGATCCAAGGCTTTGAATACCTCACAAGGCACTGTTCAATCCATCAGCTGAAATAATAATTTGTAACCGGAGACCTACCAAGGCATTACTGAACTGACAGGTATATAGAGGACTGGTATATAGAGGATTAATCAGAGAGGCAGAAAAGATGGCCATGGTAGATGTGAGCAGAGAGATGCAGAGGAGATGCAGAGAATCAAAGCTCACTGCAGATAATCTGTTGACATGACAACTGTTAGTTTTGCAATCTACTGTGCTGGTCTTTGTTGAAGATCTAACAAGGGAAGAAACAGACTTTCCCCCATTCACCTTCAACTGCCTCTAGTATGCAGCACATCTGTTGCAGTTTCTCTTGATTTTTTTTCTTGCCATTTCCTTTCAGATTTTGTCTGTTTTCCTCTAAAGCTTAGTCAGCAATAACTGTTTCTATTACTCAAAAATTACACAGATAAGTCAATGAAGCTAATAGACAAAGGTAAAGCCAAGATAGCCTATATATAAATCAACTGCAGCAATTATCTGTGATTAAGGCATCAAAAGTTTTTCAAAACTTAAACCTAAATGAAAAAAACTGATAATTTCAGAAGAAAAATGTATGATAGAAAATTCCACCTTACCAAAAGAACATAAATATTAAAATCAAATTTCAAACATGATCAGTTTTCACAAGTATATCCTAAATTACTAAAACCAAAGGCTTTTAAACTTATAATTAGAGTGAGATACCACAACAAGCTGGTTTGTTGGTTTGACCAAGGATACCTAGTAAGCTTAAATCATTTGTTTGAATAATTAGATAAAATGTAAACCTTACTTAGAGTTTCTTTAAAAAAATGACAAAAATCCTAACTTACACATTGTGAATTCATATTTTAAGAATCATTTAGTAACAGCAGAAAATGGAAGATAAAAAGTTTGATCAATGACAGTTAAGATAATAATTTTGCAATAACAAAACTTTTGATACATATAAATCACATCTGTCTCATTAATTTGTAGCCTAGTTAAAGCACTTTGGAGTTGAAAATTAAAGGTAAATAAGAAATTAAGTAAAGAATCACAAAAATGATTCACCAATAATAAGACTCAGCAAGTTCCCTGGATTGTACCCTTTAATGTATATTGTGCCTATACACTGCCCTCATGTGGTTATATGCTTAAAGTTTACTACACTTTGTGATGGAGTGCGTGAGGAAGAGAGAAAAAGAGAACAGAGCTCTAAAGAATCAATAATAATATATGATTGTGACTCATAAAATGTAAGGAATCAAGGCTCTATAATTAAGGGGCCCAATGATGCTGACCCACATCTTGTCTCCATCCGCTAAGAACCTCATTACGTCAGACTTTATTATAAACCTCGACAGAACTTCCACAATATGTCCCGATATTAAATAATAAAAAAAAATATATAAAAACACATTTAAAACACCTAGATCCGTCAGCATGCCTTCATCTACTGGTGAATTCCCAAACCCTCATTTTATTCCATCAGTGTGAGCCAGCTCCTCTTGATGGAAGAACTCATTTTGACAAGAGAAGGGGGAGTTCGCTCTTTAGCTCTCTTACTTTTCAAAACACAGTCGCTTACTTATTAGATTAATTTAAGAAAATATGATTTAAGTGGGATTTTAAAAAAGATTAAAAGTGCACGTAATAAACAGAAGGATGTTTCATGAAATATTTAATACAAATTGTGAATCACACCCCTCCTATAAAAGTTGGTACGTCTTACACCCTGCCGTTAGCCGTTGTTGTACCCTATGCTACTGAACAGATTTACCGCGATACAAACTAGCTTCACACTGGCCTTAACCGCATGAAAAGATGCTTCTTCGCGAGATTAAAACGATAAAACAAACACCAGGACGCCTGGGAAAACTTTGCCCAACTATACCCAAACTTTGATGAAGACCACAAGCCAAATATAGTTTTAGAGTGTGTTAGCATTGTTATATTATCTTCCCATTATATATATATTTTCCCCCGGTCGAGGTTCTTTCTTTTTTGTATTTATCTTTTTTATTGGAGAAGCCCAGTCTGATGAATTCACCGAAAGAAGACGGAGAAGATGATGTGCCCGTTAAAGACCCGGTGAAATACGGAGAGCTGGTCATTTTAGGGTAAGTCTAAATGTAACGGTCGCTTAAAAAAAAGAAAAATTACATTAAACGCGTGGGAGTCGCCGTAACACGCCAAATTTAAGGTTAAATCCGGTTTTCCGCTCAATGTTTCGCTTTTAAATTTCAAATAATTTATAGTAACATAGTTACGCTCATTATTACACATGTCCGTCGGTTCTACAGTCCGAAAAGCATAGTAGGAGTGATAGAAAGTAGGGTTAGCGAATAAATCAAACAACATTCATTTATGATAGCTCAGCACTTTTAAAAAAAATGGATTTGAGTTGAAATGATGCCGAATATGCTGCTTCTGCACTACATTTTAAGCCTACTACGGATGTAGGCGCTTATTCGTCAATGGTTGTAGTGGGGGTGAGCAGGCTGAAAATCCCTATGATGTCATCCACTGCTGGATGCTAAAAAGTAGGTCTGAGCAGCAATATCTGGTATATTTAGACATAATGCTTATATTGGGGTAGTTTTTTTAAAATGTATTTATTTGAAATTGGTCATCAAGGATTCATAAAACAGGTCAGTGTGATTCATGCCACGGTTGAAGGCGGAGGAGGAAGAGGAGGCGGAGAAAAGCCCCTTTACATCACACGTGCATGCAGTGGGCAGGATGTGCTGATGACACCCAACAGCTTCCACAGCAGCTCTGCAGGGGACACTAACACGCACACACAGCTGCACCTTTACACAAACCTTAGTTTCACAATGCAGAGCTTCTTGGGTCTGCCAAAGAGAACTGACCTCATGGCCTGCCCCTTCCTTCTCTTTGGATGAGCAAAAAGAGAGGTGTCTGTGGTTCTGAATAAGCATCAGAATCCCGATTAGTTGCCTGTCCTCTTGCTATCTGTCTGCTTGAACAAAGCTCTCCTTTACACCCTAAGATCAATAACAAGGGGATGCCTATTTCAGTTCCTGTGTGGTTATCTGTACCCCACTGGAGAGACAAGTCAGGCTTTGGCTTATGGATACTAATTTCTAGTGTTCTTTAGGGTCTGACCTGCCGATTAATTTTTGCTTTTTTGTCAAGGAGTATCAACTAAAAGTAACTAACTATGCTCCCTTTTTTTTCTGGTCTATATGTAAAACAGAATAAAAGTGCATTAAAGTGCTTTTAAGTGTTTTTTTTAAGGATGTAGTGATCCACCTTTTTTTTCTTACTTTTGATCGGAATCTTTAATTTGAATATCTTCACATCCAGATACTTGTCAGATACCAGAGCAGTATTAGCTTTAAAGTTCTCATCATTGCTGTTGATTTTCTCTCTACAAGCAAGTATAATATGTATGAATGTAAACATGTGTATCCCGAAAGGCAACTTGTGATCAGTATAAGGTCAAAAAAGGAGTTCATATAAACAGTATATCAGGTTAACAGGACAAATCCCATCTTGAAAACAAGTTTCCAACTGATTTATCAAATCAGTGGTGGATGCTAATAGTGGAATAAACGCTTCTGCTGTTCAAGGGATTTTTTTTAACCTAACATGTATTATTTAAATAGACAGAACACATCTGCCCCTTTGGATTGGGCCCATTTTCACCTATACCTGAGCCACACTTTTCTTTTAAACTAGCACCAATACCAATAATAATATTGGATGGGTGCAACTCAGGTGTCTTTATATACCAAAAAAAATAAGTTTGTAGATTTGTTTGTTTTTCTCTCTAATTGCATGCGACTCAAGAACAATTTTCCAATTGTTATCTGTAAGATATGTTTTAAACTATAGTTGGGGTTTCTGTTATATTACCAAATGATAGAATTTAGGTTGTGTTAGATATGTAGCTTTAGGGTGGGGTGATTTATCCATATCTTAATTTGGTAAAGTTTTCTGTTTTGGGGCTTTCCAGTGCTTTCCTTGGGCTCCCATAGCCCAGAGTGACATTAGTTTGTCACTTTTTGTTCTTAGACATGCACAGAACTGATAAACTAGCTGATTATGTTATACAGCTAGCCCCCAAAATTAAAAATATATGTAGTTTATATTTTCATTGTTTATTGTGAAACTGGATTATTTTACAGGCATGTTTAAAGCTTAGAAGATTCGATTTATCTGACATCATGTCAACTGACCTATCTAATGTTTATATTGGAACAAGTGATTTGGTAACATTTTGGGCAAAAATATGTATGATAAAATCTATATTTTGTTTCAATGAAAGACGGTTTACCTTGTTGTAATTCCTGCATATACCGGTACTTATGAATTCTTTTGCTTTCAGTATTTTCCAGATGTGGAAAAGTGCAGAAATAATAAAACTAGTATTCTCATTTTTTCCTTCCTTGATTTGTATGCATAAGCATAATATACATTACATATATAAGCTTACATTTCCTAACAAATGCAGTGGACTTTAACAATGGTTTACATTGACATAAATTGCTTAATTTTCCATTTTTTTATTCGGTAGTTTAGTTTGCAACTTACTGACTAAAATAATCTGTAGCTGAAATTGATCTTTAGTTCTTATTATTAAACACATCCCTTAAATAATTAGAACTGATTGAAATATACTCCAGTCTGTTTTCTCTTACTTTGATGGACACAGAATAAAAGACTAAGGCATCTCCAGCACCTCTAGGTGTCCACTGCTAGTCAGCTGTCTCCTCTACAAAAGATGATTTAAACTTTTGGAGATATTTCTATTTGCACAAATACACCATAGGACTTTATAAGCACACTCTGTTCCCAAACATACTGCAGGCTTCCTTTAGAAATCTGATTAAATGTGTTTAAACAGGCTGTTCTTTCTTCTGCTTCCTGGCTGATATCATTATTGCCAGGCCTGTTTTCTACATGTGGGGTTTATCTTGGATAGGTCAGGCTGATGATCACATGCCCTGGTCGGCTGATGTCTTCCTCACTGTAGGCCAATGTGCTCTGTTCAGCTGCAGTCTGCCAAACCCCTTTTCTTTGTTAGTCTGCATACGATGGATGCACCATGTCCAGGGAAACTCAACTCGCCCACAAGCAGCACTCGTCAGCATAAAAAACATCAACCTCCATACTGTATGTGTCCTCATCTATAACCTGTGGTGCATTTCTCTGTCTCCCACCCAGTCCCCATCGCCCCCAGCCCCCCAGTGTTCTGCTGTGTATCAGCTTTGACGGAGAAAGGCCTACAGTCTGTAGTGACTTGTCCTCAACAAAAATAAAGCCCATGTTGAGGGGCAGAAGTAGTGAATATTTCATATGATGTTTCACCATGTGAGCACATGCATCTTACAGGCCACCACTGTCCACAGATGTACCCTAAGGAGCTCGATCTTCATTCAGCACTCGTTTTGACCCTGATAGGTGATGTTTTTTAGCTTTGAGCATTAAGCTTTATGTTTTTACTATGCTTATTTTGCTTTCTGCTTTATTATCATGCCATCTTCATATTTGCTTCATAACTCTTTTCCTTTAAGATACATATTCCATTGTAATGTCTTATATTCTACCTTGTATCATGGTTTTGGTCGGCTAATCAAACATCTTAGAAGTTAATACTTGCAGGTCCTGTTTTATCCTGACTAGGGTTGAAACAATTAATCGGATTAGTCGTGATTAACCGATTACTGAAATAATTGTCATCAACACTGCTTTAGCTGACAGAGCTATCCACCTTGAGCAGAAAACTATACCAACATTGGAAAAAATATATAAATATTTTGCCTTTAAGTTTAAAAACACTTTTTATTCTGTCAGTATGCTCTATCCAGGAAAAGTTTTAGTTTAACTTGCTTTAATCTGTAAAAAAATCTTCTTTAAGATACCTTTGACTATCCAATTATTAATTGATTTATCTAAAAATATTGGACAGATTAGCAAAATAATCATTAGTTGTAGCCCTAATCCTGACCCAGGTTAGATCTGACCGGCCTGGTCACCGAAACCTCTATTAGCTTTCAGTCTTTGTTTAAACAGTGCTACACTACTGGTGGCTTCTCCTAAACATTGTCTTGATAAAGTAACTTAAATTTGCAGTGGTTCATCTGGTTAAAATAATAAAAATAAAAAAAAAGATACATTCTTTAAGAAACCTTTGAATGCAGTATTTGGCACTGATTTTCAGACATATGTTTGTCCTTAGGCAGGGTTATTTTCAGCTTCTTGCCATAAGATAAAGTCATGCCCACACCAGCTCTGAAAAATTAAGGAGCAATAAGTTAGATATTTGCTGTAAAATGAACCAAAATCATTCTTATTTTTCACCTGGGATGAAAGTAGCATCCCCTATAAATAATCAGCCCTTTCCATCAACAACACAGCCAAGTGACAGTCCTTTCAAACATAGCAGTACAGTGCAGCACTACTTTGGTGTAGTCTGCATCCCGTGTTTACTTCCTGATTCTGAGACAATCAGATGACAGTTCCCAGGGGTTTTAAAACAGAGCGCAACATTTGGTGTTTTATGTTGGCAAAAAAGAGCAGCAGCCTGCAAACATGGAAGCCAGCAAAATAAGCATCCAGAAATAATCTTGACAATACCCTACAAGCCCTGGCATCCTTAAAGTATTTACACAACTTAAGGAAGCTGAAAGGTCTTCACTCGTCATCTTGAGTTTAGCTGCACTACATCCTTGTCTCTCCTGACTTAGATCCATGCTGAATCACACAAAAGAAAAACACAAGACATTTTGCGATCATTAGATTTCAGCTGCTTAATTTAATATTAAATTCCCTTTTGCTTGCCTTTAAGCTTGAAGCTGCTATCTTTGGCCCTCATGCACCAACTGACTCAATACTTTTCCTATTGTTCCTTGCAAAAGAGCACAAGATCATTCAGGGTAAAGAAAGATCATTGGTAAAGAGCAATATCAGTCTTATTAGATTTTGGTTTGTGCTGTCACTAGACCCTTTTTAACAAATTATGATCCCACTGGAACTCTGGGTTTATGTTTATTCTCCTGATGGACAGTGGACTTTCTACCAAGTCTCAAGTCCTTTGCAGCCTCTAGAAACTTTTCTTTCAGGTTTGCCCTCATAGAAAACTTGCTAGAGCAAAGTTTATAGCTTCTTGCCTTTTCCCATCTGCTTTAAACAGCACCTCTGTCTCTGTTTGTACAAAACAGTGTCGCTGCAGTATGACCAATTATGTTTTTTTTTGGGAAAAAGGTTTTCTGGTTGTGTCTTGAGTTGGTTTTCATTCGTACTTAGAATTGAAAATGTTAAAAAATGACTTTTGTTTAGTCTTATCTTTGAGAGAAACACCCTGTCAGGAGCTCCATCTTTGAATTTGTTTTGGCTCAGCAATTGACTTCTCTCCTCCCTTCCAGGCTGCTTCTCGGGTTTATCATCTAAGTTGGACAATTATTCACGAAGCTGTCCCTTAGTCTTCATTGTGTTATTTTTTCACCAAGGTTCTTCAATGGATATCTGAGGTCCTCAAGATGCAGCTGGATTAACATCCGGATTAAATGACCCTATGGTTTATATAGTAATTTGGTTACCCCTGAAGATGACTATATTTGGGGGTCTGCGAGTAGATTGGGCTAAATACAAATGAACAGCACATTTGTTTTAATGATTATTTGTAAGAAAATTGTTCTTCTATTCTTTCAGCTCCATCGCTGCACTTTTCTTTGTCCTGGTTTATCACATCAAATCCCAGTAAAATACCGAATACTTTGGTTGATAAAGGATGAAAAAGTGCAAGGAGCATGAATACTTATGTGCTTGTTTTTCAAAAGCCCCTATGGACAGTTGTTTTCTATTTCTAGTCTTCTGGTCTGCAGGGTTTCCTCCAAGTGGTTTCCACAACAACCACATTCTGCTGATTAGGGAGAGTAGCATACTGCCTTCTGGTTGAACCCAAACCGTGAAAATTATGTTTTACGCAGCTTAAAAAACTGAAGGAACCACTTCAGAGAAGTCCATGGCAACAATCAAAATGGTTGATATATAAAGAAGATTCATTTACTTAAAAAAAAGTGCTTTTATTTATTTTTTTTATTTGTCCTCAGACTGTTTAGGGGGGGGGTGATACTGTATCATCTCAATGACTCGTTGCAAGTGTTAGCTTTTCGACTTGTTTCATTAATTTCAAGAAAATAAAAGATATACCTCCAAAGATATGCATTACTGCTCAAAGTCTGGGGGATCACATAAAATAGAGGCAGTAATGCTGCTTTTATAAGTCACAAAAGTGCTTGAAACATTGTTATCATTGAATAGTGGAGCTCAGCGATCTGGTCCGGCTGTTTGCTCACAATCTCATGTATCTGACTTAGATTGCTAAAAAGTTGGTGATTTGTCTCCAGAGTCTGATTTCCTTCTGTTATCTGTTTCTTTTTGCATGTTCAGGCACAATGGCTCTCTGCCAAGTGGAGACCGTGGGCGCAGAAAGAGCCGCTTTGCTCTTTACCGAAGGGCCAAGGCCAACGGTGTGAAACCCAGTGCTGTGCACATCCTCAACACACCACAGGACAGCAAGGTATGCATGCTTGCACACTAAAACAGCTTGTAAGTTTCCTGCCCTTGATCGTCTGTTGATCTTCGGTCGTCTGTCAGAGGAAGGATGTGTGCTCAGGAGGAAGGGAGTTTGTGCTTCGTCCCATATGTCTTCCTGCATTCGTTTTTCTGATTTCTTTATGGACACAGATAATTAAATGTTTGTCATTATATGGGCAAAGATTTTTTTTTTTCTTCCCCCACATACTTACTTTTTCTGTTTAAATAAAAATGATATATAAATGACTGTATTTATGCTGCTTTGATGTTGCAGGTGGTTCACAGCAGGGGGCAGCACAGCATTTCTTTCACACTGTCTCGCAACCAGACTGTGGTGGTGGAGTACTGCCATGACAGCAGTACAGACATGTTCCAGGTAAAACACACAAAAGGAAATCTATAAGCCAGAGTCACAGCTTCTGAAACATCCTCCTCCTGATGCCTGTTTGATCATCTCTTCTAATACACTGATGTTTAATGTCATCAAAGTAATATTAGTGCAATTCAGTGATAAAAATAGCAGCTGCTTTTCAAAGGAATTCTATTTTAGGTATGTTTATTTTATAGGATATGGACTTTTCCCCTCATTTTTTGTAAATGCTTAACTGCATTGTTATTTTCTTTCTAGAATAATAAAACAAATAATTATATTTAATATTTTATCTGAACTTCAGAGAACCAAGCAAGAATAGATTAGTTGTTGACCAACTGTGAGGGATATTAGTTGTATTGGTGTGTAGGTCTGGATTGTATGGATGTTTTTTGTTTGTTTCTCATGTGAATGGTGTCTCTGTACCGGCTGCTGCAGATCGGACGGTCCACAGAGAGTCCCATCGACTTTGTGGTGACTGACACCTCTGGAGGGGGAAAGGAAGGAGAAGACCCCTCCATCGCTCCCAGCACCATCTCCCGTTTTGCTTGCAGAGTGGTGTGCGAGCGTAACCCACCCTACACTGCCCGCATTTACGCTGCAGGCTTTGACTCATCAAAAAATATCTTTCTAGGGGTGAGTGTAACGATGATGCACAGAAAACCTTTCCTTCAGGACATGCTAAAGGAAGACTTTGGTCCCCGACCTGTTTTAGGAGAAAGCAACCAAGTGGAAAAATCCTGATGGCCACATGGATGGTCTCACCACCAACGGGGTGTTGGTGATGCACCCAGAGGGTTTCCCAGAGGACCCCAAGCAGGGTCTTTGGAGGGAGATATCAGTGTGTGGAGATGTTTATGCACTGAGAGAAACACGCTCTGGGCCCAGTCGGGGAAAACTGGTGAGTCTATTTAAACAGCGCTCTGACACCTCAGCCATGTTAGGATTGAACTTATCTCTCTGTTTCACCTGTAGGCAGAGGGAGAGAGCAGCGCACTGCGCGATGGCTCTCTGGTGGATCTCTGTGGTGCCACTCTGCTGTGGCGCACAGGTGAAGGCCTCATGCGCGCCCCCACTCTGCGTCACCTGGAGGCCCTTCGTCAAGAGCTGAATGCGTCCCGTCCTCAGTGTCCTGTAGGCCTCAGCACGTTGGCCTTCCCAAGTCTGCCACGCAGCCACAGGTGAGGGGGGATTCACTTCATTTAATGCCACACATACCTCTGACAGTGAAATATGAGCAGTCAAATTTTATACAAAAAAAAATCCAAACTAATATTTGACTAGACTGAAAAACAGAACCATGCTAAGAGAACATATTTTTCAAAAAGGTGTCCTACAACAGAATTATTGTTTATCCAACCATCCCTTCAGGATATATATGGGTACATGTAAAAAAAAAACCCCAGAACATCTTGAAAGTGAAATGCATAAATAAAGTGAAAAATTCTGTCATCTTTTTTTCTTGTATTTTTAATGGATATGGCTTACTGATAATGAGAACCTAAAGTTTGGTATCTTGGAATCATTATAATATTTAGAGCTGTCAAAGTTAATGCAATATTAGCAATTAATTAAAAAGAATCCATTATGCTTTGTTTTTTAAAAACTTTTATGGCTTTTCATTCATAAGCGGATTTGTCCCTTTGACCCGTAGTCAGCTCCTTGAGCCATTTTGTGAAGCGGTAAAAGGTGATTGATGTAAAAAGTACAACATGAGTTTTAAACAGCCTGTCTAACTTTGAAAAAAATCAAAGAATGAAAAAAAAAAAAAAAAAAACTTAGTTTTTTGTCACTTGGGACTTAGTAATTGGAAAGCGTCATGTCTCCATGACAACTGGTTGAAATCCGAAAGCGCTGCCGCCAAAACAGTGACAGATAAATGGATAAAACTGTCATGATGGAAACTGAAGTACGCTGGTTATTAGTAGCTCTCACCTTTTTTTCTAAATGGTTTGCATGGAGAAATATTGGCAAATTATAATGTCTGCAAATGAAGTGCAACTGCAGCTTAAAAATAAATTACTGATGCACTGGAGACGCCGAATAGAAATATCTGTCTGAATCAGGAAAATCAGGACATCCTCATCTCGCCCAGATACTGATGACCAACAGATTAATTCATGCCTGTAGTTAATAATTATATTATTGCACCAGAGTACGGTTGGCTTCAGACATCAGCTAGTTCAGCTTGAGCCGAATCGAGAACGCCTTGTTCTAGTTTGATGCACAATAGTCTGATTGTCCTTCATACTGACCCAAACGGGACCAAAGCTGCATGTGGAAAAAAATCAAAAACTTAAGTTACGTCGCTCTAATAGTGTTATTGTTCATTTTTAATGTAGCTTTAGAGAGCGGCCGGATATCCTATTTAATCTCAAAGTAAACACAATGTTACTTTTATTGCTGTTAATATTCGGTAGTTGGACTGAATTGAACTTTTTTCAAATAAAAAGAGGTTCAAAAGGTAAATATATGTTTTAATCTGATCCCATTGAAAACTAAGATTAATTATTCTATATTCTGAGCTCAGAACTGCCTTCATATGCAAAATAACAGTACTTTTGCACAGGCATTTTAGACTAAGACGCTTCTGCTATTAATAATAAAAAAAACATTTGACAGCCAAAATAATATAACATAAGATCAATAAAAAAATATATCATTATAATTTTTAAACTTCTTGACAGTCATTAACACCCTGCACAGCAAGGGTAAACTGGCATTTAACTGAGTGCTGTATTCAAGCAAGTCAATAAAATGTTAAGTGGAATTTAAAATTGCGCTAACAAAAAGTGTATAAACACAATCTTTGGTTTTGAGAGTAAAATGGAGAGGCAGAGAATCCACATTACTTAAAGTCTAGTGCCACATTTCAACAGTGAAATGTCATCTACCGATGTTGGTCCACTGGGTCTTCTTGTCTACAGTCAATGCATCCAGTTTCCAGGAACTTTAGAACAGGTTTCTTTAATTCCAGTTCCTCACATTTTGATGTACTGCATTGTTTCAATGTGTCTCTGCTTCGATACATTAAAGAAAACAACCACAGCAGGATTATAAAAAATAATTGCCATAGCCGAATAATTGAAAAAATTGTCAGTTATTTCGCTGAATATTACAATAATTATTGATTGCAGCCCTAAATGAAAGTTAGTAAGCAGAATGTGACAGAATATCAATAAAAAGTGGTAGTTTGGTCTTACAAATTCCCAATTGTTTCAAGTAAGCAGTGAATAACAACTGGCTGCAACAATACCCCAGCTGACTTTGCTTTAATTGAAGGATTAATGGATGGGAAACATCTAATTTCTGTAAATATTAGAAGATATGTCTCCCTTCAGGGCTCCCATAGACTCCATGAAGCTTGTTGGAGTTCAAAGAGCTCTTTGAAATGCCAATAGATTATTTAAAAAATATGACTGAAATTGCAGTGTTTAAGTGTGATAATAAGGCTAAAAATGGACAGATCAACACAGAAATGTTTAATGTGAGGTTTTGCTTCTATAACCAATAATAGATTTATTTAGTCTCCATAAATGAGCTCAGACCTTTAGAATTAGTAACTCTGCAACTGTTAGAAACAAGGACTTTCTCAAAGAGTTGTATGTGTTACTGCAGCCTTGAAGAGCGTCAGCCCTGGGTCTACCTCACCTGCGGCCATGTTCACGGACGCCACGACTGGGGCCAGAGGTCTGAAAGACAGGAGGAGCCAGTAGAAGGTGAGGGCTCCACGGTGCGTAGGGAATGTCCCCTCTGCAGAAGCGTGGGTCCCTATGTCCCCCTGTGGCTGGGCTCCGAGCCTGCGGTGTATGTGGACGCCGGAGCTCCCACTCATGCTTTTGTTCCATGCGGCCACGTCTGCTCAGAGAGGACAGCCAAATACTGGGCTGAGACCCCTCTGCCCCACGGGACACATGCATTCAGGCCAATCTGCCCCTTCTGCTCTGCTGCTCTCAGTACCCCCGGCTGGATACGCCTCATCTTCCAGGGTCCCATCGACTAGCCGCTCATTCATTACTCTGCAAACAAGAAGCAGGAAGCTACTAGGGCTTCATTCAAGTGTTAAACATTGATAAATAACAACGAATAGTTCAATTTTGAGCTTAATGGTTTCAAAGCATATGTGTTCTGAGTATTCTACTACACTCCAACATTGTGTCAGAGAATGTAGCTCAGAGCTGAAGAATCAGTCCCCTTGTTTATCCTTCAGAGCTTCAGGATCAAGAGGACATGACAGACTAATCAGTGCTAAAACAAAGCTAGGAATCCGTCTAAACTATCAAAGACAGTGTTATATTAAATACAACAAAGCTTTAGGTGATGCTGCTTGACCTTCAAAAATTCATTTTCTTAATATCATAGAGTAACTCATCCCCATTTTACTATTACTCCACACTTGATCAGGTTCAAACCTCCTTTTAACCCTCCTCAGATGACAGAGTGTGACATCACACTGAGCTTTTTTGCACATAAAAATGAATGGCCTTGACTGTCACTTTGCCAGAATTAACTTTAGATATTATAAAAGTTGCCACATTCAAAACTTTATTCTGTCAAATGCTTTCTTTTGAACTGAAATGGTCTCAGCTTCACCTTGTTTCTAACTCAACTGCCTCCAAATTACATTTAGCATCTTCATCAGTTTTTCACTGATCCAACACTGATCTTAGTGCCATGCTTTAGCCTGAAGCAAGAATATCAATATACATTTCAAAGCAACATTCATCCTCACAGATCCTTTTAGTGTTCAATCTATGCATAGAGGCTCCTGTAAATGAAACCACTTGGTGACCTCTGAAGCACCAGAGTGAGCGTCACTTACAGCGTCTTTCAAAGGTATTCACACGCCCTGAACTTTGTCTCATTTAGTCAGTTTACAAAGTGAGATTTATTGTGAAAGATCAACACAAATTAATGCAAAATTGGGGTGTGAATGCTATATATATATATATATATATTACTGGATTTTTAACAAATTAAAATCTGAAAGGTGTGGTGTGCATTTGTATTCCCTTTTTTTTTCCAGTGCAGCCAAGTGCCTCCAGAAAAATACAGTTAAGATAGGAAAATCTGCCACTAATCTGGCCTTTATAAAAGAATGTCAAAAATAAAAGTTTTGTTTTGAAGATGTTTTTCTTTTTTTTTTACATTAGTGGCCTTAACTGCCTATGATTACATAGAGAGAATAAAGAGCGAAACACACACTAAAGGTCTAAAGGCTGGGAATTAAACCCTAGACTGCTGGGTCATAGACTGTGAATGATGATAGACTCTGTAGACTGATGATTACTGTAAGGCTGCATTAGGGAGGTAGAGCACGTTGCATGTAATTTATTTCCTCTTGTCTGTGAAAACCATTATTAAAATAGAGCAGTTTATTAAGAATAAAGAAGATGCTCTGGTTAAACACAACAATTTCCCCCCACAATATGTTGGTTTTACATCATGTCATAAATATGAATGCATGCCACACTTTATAATGTCATTTTTAAAGATGTTCGACAACCACCCATGCTTTAATCTTCCACTTATAAATCATGCACCATTTAGTGCTGATCTATCACATTAAATCCCAATAACCTACAATGAAGCTTCTTGTTTAAACCTGCCAAGTTGTGGGAAAGTTTAATGGTTCTAAGTACTTTTGCAAGTAACTAAAATTATTTTAATTATGGAACAAAGTGAGGATAAACAAAGGCAGGGACAAAAAAAAGGAGGAAACTAGGTTAACTTCACTTCACAACACTCCAAAGCAATAATAGCACTTGCATAGATAAGCTACATGTTTAGCCAGGTGTCCTAGAAGCAAGAGGAAAAAGGTTTCCAGGGTTTGATCGTAATCAGAGGTGTGTTCACTTCACCCCATAAGGTGTAGGAATTCAACACACGCGACCCTCAGCTGATGCTCCACTGCTTCTGTTTTGAACACACCTCAGGTTACTGAGCTCCTTCTAACAGGGTCCACGTTGGTGTGATGGAGGGTCCGTATGGTTTGTTCTTGTGTGACCTCATAAAGAAAAACTATTTTGTTAAGAAAAGGGGGAGGGGTTTATTTTGGGGAAGCGGGAGGAATTCTTTTAGATGTTCAGTGTCAAAAAATATCTAAATCTTACTATTTTTCTATTTGAAGTGGGTTGAGTTGATTATTCCTATATAGTGTGAGCATTTTGTGCCCAGCTATAACTGTGTGGTAGATTAGGAGAGCCCGTGAATGAGAAGACATTATCAACACTGTCCACTTCCACACTGCTACCATCCAACATTGCCCAGACAATGAATGTAGCCAAATACTCGGGCTATGTTTAGCCTTCGCTGGTGCTCATACTGAATGGTCTATATTGTGAAACTATTTTTGTAACTGAATATCATGGTGTAGCTTGGTGAAGTAGCTTGATAAGGTGTGATGATTTCAATAATAGCCTCAAGTGTGGAAGACGTGAAGAACTCATTTATACACGGGAACCGTGTCCAGCTTGCATGTGCTGAACATACACATACAGTATTACCACTGCATTGGACGTGTATTCAGAAACTTTGCACGACGGTTTGCGAACTCGTTACTCATCACTGAGCGAGTGTTTCACATGTAAATGTGTCTTCCAAGTCCTCAGTTAGAACCGCTTTTTCTTTTCTTGTTTTGTGCTGTTGTTTTGAGGGGAAAAATGTAAAAAAAATTCTCTAAAAAACATAGAATTGATATAACTTCGTTAATGACACCTCTTATACTACTATGCTAATATTTTCCAATAATCTGCAGGAAGTTGATCGACTTGGCTTATGTTTACATTCAGCTGTCAGATGCATCCGTAAACACTTAGAGGCGTACTGTTTCTGGAATGTGACTTTTTTCCATTTGGGGCCTGGATACAGGATTTATTGTGTGGTGAATAAGTGATGTTTTGTAGCTCAGGATTAGTGATCTCAGACTCACAGCGAGCAGGGCAACCTTAGTGAGAAAAGCTCTTGTATGTTTGAGCTGGTTAAGGTAAGGAAAGCATGACCAGTGGTGCGATGTGATCTAGAGAGGAGATGTAAAACTAATCTCCCATATTTAATGCAGCAGTAAACTGGGCTAGCAGACTAGAAGCTGACATAAATGTGGATTTAAAGAATATATTTCCCATGTTGTTCTTTCAATGAAGTTCCTCTTAACTAAATTATTACATATCTAATGTAGGAGTGTCTGAGGGCTCCCTGCTGGCCCATCCAGCTTTGGAACAATGTTGTGCAGCCCGTGACCAGAGATGCACCGATCCAGTTTTTCTAACGATCCGATACCTGGGCTGAGCATATCAGCCAATATTCGATAACAATCTGATTCAGCTGTCAAACGAATGAAGCATACCTTGCCATGTGAACAAAGGCTTTAACCTTGAAATAAACAGTGTTAAAAAAACGTATCAAATCAACACAGATATAAATGCACTAACAAAAAAAGAAATAACAGTTCTATCTAAAGTGCACTGGATTGGATCCCTGATATCAAATCGCTGATATCTGATCCAGCTGTTTAGTCAGTATCAGAGCCAATTTCGGATCCAGTTGTCGGATCAGTGCATCTCTACCCTTGACCTGCATCCCATTCTTGTAGCCTAAAGCAGACCACAAACTGAAAAAATTATAAAAAATCAACAATCTTTATTTTAACCCTTTTTACTTTTCTGGCTGAGGATTATAGATGATAAAGAATTAGAACAAATGTTGCAAGTTTTTGTTTTCATTCAATGAAACACAAATGAAATCTAAAGAAATTTTTGTTTATATTTTTTTATTTTCGCTCTTTAATCAAAAAGAGTCCAAGTTTGTGTCTTCCTAGAACGTTAAATCTTGAACATATTAGCCTTATGTGGCAAAAGTTTGGACACTTCTGATGGATATGATATGGCTGAACCTCATATTATTGTTATTAGCTATTAGCATTTAGCATACTGCACCATACTGGTCATGATCGCCAAAGATCTGCTATACATGGATCTTTATATAGATCCCTCCTTAACTATTGGCACATCTGGTAAAGCCATGCCTAAATCCTAAAATAAAGCGGTTGCTAAGGATACGCATCTGAAGAAATGACATGTTTTTACTTCTTTCGCTAGGTGGTGAGCTAATCTGGAGTCCACATTTTTTCCCACACTTGCAGGTATTTTAAACATAACATTGTGTATATCAGGAAGGTTAGATGATAAAATATTTTCTTTGAACAGTCCCCTGAGTTTCAAAAATCAACACAGCTCCCTTATTTTAATATGTCTGTTTATTTTTACCATTTGGAATTGGAGTTTAGAGAAACAATCCTTTGTGTTATCTTGTTAAAGTCATATTTTAGTAAATAAAGATTACAAAAAACTGCGCAACCATTAAAGTGTAAATGACAACACTGCTTCAGTAACCGCTATTTAAAGAAACTCTTTGTTTTGTTTTGGTTATTCTACAATGCTGAATTTCTTTCAGTGGTATTTTTGGCAGATCAATTCAAGGTTTTCTTGTTTTCAAAATATTTAGTATTGAGAACTGATTGTTTTTAAGGATTCCTTCAATCTGTACCAATCACTGTGCCAATAGTTGGGGAGGAGGCTTCTATATAAATAGAGAAAAGAAACCAGCTCCAACAGGCAGGGCCAACTATTAGTTACCTTCCATGATTGTGTCAACCTAAATGAATTGTGCTCTTATACCTACCCCTGTAACAGCATTGGCATGTGGATGGATGAACTGTTGCAGCACCCTCATTTTACTTTTTCTTTCCCTCTCTTTTCTCTCGTTATATTCACTTTTTTACTTTTCTAGTTTCATAGATGTCCATGCGTTGTTTTCTTTGCTCTCTTTTAGACCTTAGCAACCGTGCAAACTTCACGCACAGTATTTTAGCACAGCACTAATTTATTCAATACCACCAGTGATATCATAAGCTCTTCACAAATGTAGTTGTTTTTTTATTTCATGTTTATCAATTGATCCTTGTTCCAGATGGCAAAACCTCAGCATCCTCAACTTCTTAAGCTCTCCTTATTGTAGGCGAGTGAGTAGCTGACATGTCTAATACAGCAGAAAACCTCACAAATAACAATGCATTCCTTTGAATATATCTTATGTACAGCTATTTTGTATTATTTTATATCATGTTCTTCTGTAATAGTCCGGTGCACAGACAATCCCTATACACATGTCAATAAACCAAATAAAAAAAAAATTGTCTGTTTTTCTTTTTATTGCATAAACTAAATATTTTCCCTGCATTCCAGAAGAGGGCGCTCTCTACCAGCACAGAAGCTGATTCTGGCATGGACATATCTGCTAAGGGTTGCTTTAAATTGCATCACATATTTAAAATACTCATCTGCTTTAATGAGCAGTTTTGGCAGTCAAATACGGTACATCGGCATGGAAATATGATAAGCCGAAAATTACAGAACGCCCGATTTTCAATTGGCTATTCAGAACACTGCAAAGAATCCAAGAAGTAAAAGACTTGCTGCGAGCCGTGTCTTTCAGAAGTTTGTTCAGAAATTGTGTCACTTTTAAAGCCTGAGGAGGTTTCTTTTCTTTCAGGGAGGAGTGTGTCATGGTATCAAAGTGATCCTTTTACAAATGTGCTTTTGAACAAGGAGGGGAAAGCTCTCAATCTAGATTTAGGAGCAAACATCTTAGTTTAGTAAATGTTGTTTTACCTATAAGTAAATAAACCCATTTAGGTATCTGATTTTCTGTGTATTAAATGTGTTGCATCTGAGTGAAAGGACCACAAAATTAAAATTTGTTCCGTTCTGTTGAGAAAGTGTTGGAATATGTTCAAATATAAATTTGATTTATCCGCAAAAACGTTAAAAAAACTGAGCATAAAGTGTTTTCGTAAAATATATCTATATTTAAGAGTGAATTTCTTGAATTATAGCAACACAAACAAGTATATGTTTATAGAATAGCATATCAAAGACCAACAATATGGTCGGGTAAATGCTATTTACTGTTTAAAGAACTAAAACCTTAAGATGTATAACATTTACTCAAGTGTCCTGAGAAATCTATTGAATTTGGTTGAAAACAAGGTTATCTTAATATCTAGTATATCAATATCTTGTTTTTTTTGTTTTTTTTTAAGAGTCTATACTTCAGATTGTGATCCCAGTCAGGCCTGCTTATTTGGGGAAATTCGCAAAAACTGTCAGATTTTAGCTCAAGCCTCAATTTAAGTTTTGTTTGTAGTTGTGACTTTGGATCAATGAGAGCTGTCTTTCTGTCGACTGTCCTTTTTGTCAAGCTTTCTGATAGGATCTGGTCCAAGAACGATACTGGCTAACAGGGATTGTTAGCTTGAGAAAAACAAAAAATGATTTGGAATTTAAAAAAAAAAATGAAGAGACTTAGAATAAAATCTAAAGTGCACAATTTATTTAAGCTTCGTATCAGAGAGAATCATAAAGCTTTATGGTAAAATCAAACTATTTTAGTTAATTTATCTTTTTTTAGCTTTTGTATTTGTCTTGCCATCTTGCTATGCTGCCTGTTGCCCAATGCCCAGCTCTGCTGCAGCTGTACAAGCATAATCAGTGACCTTCCCAAAACTAATGTTTATTATCTCTGATGACATAATACAGGGCACCTAAGGGCTGTAGTGTTTACCAACACAGCTTGACATAAATACACACAAATTACATTTGACAGTTCTTTTCATTTTGAGAAAAAGTCTTTCCTGAAATCCAGCGATTGGAAATG